GCCTTTTTTTTTTTTTTCTAAACTCTTTATTTTACGATAGGGGTTCACTAAGTTGCTAAGTTGCTCAAGCTGGGCTTAAACTAGTGATCCTCCAGCCTCAACCCCTCAAGTAGCTGGTTTACAGGTCTATGCCACTATGTCCAGTCCAGCACAGGTACTGTTATCCATATTTTACAGTTAAGCTAACTGAGCCCAGGTGCCATGGCCAGGCAGTGGTGCAGATGTTGGTGCTGCTGGAGGTGCTGAGGTGCAGGTGTGTGGGGGTCTTTGCTGCCTGAGCAGGGGTGGACCATGTGGCATAGAAAGCCTCCAAAATCAGGCTCAGACCATCCCCCTGGGCTCTGTCCTAGCCTCACGGTACTTAACCAAACTGTCACATACCTAAGCGAAGTTGGGGTGCCCTGGGAGACCCCAACCTGAGCCTTAGTTTCCTTGTAAAATGGAAATGATGATGTCTCTGCTCTGCTTATATTTAGGAGGATGGTTCTGAGGTTAAGTCAGTTCTGTGGGTGACTGTTATGCCATTATTGTTAATATTAAAGGGCGGCAACCTGGGGTGTCACACAAGCCCTGGGAAGGGGTGGCCAGGGGAGCCACTGGCCAGGAAAACATGGCTCACAGCAGTCAGGGCCTCGCCAGTGTAATGCACAGACTGATCTGATCTCCAAGGGCTGACTGCTGAGTCCTCCACGGCAGATAAAAGACAGAAGTCACACCCTTGGGAGGACCCATGGGGTCCATCAGGGCAGGAGCTGACGCCTCTCTACCCTCATGGAGAGGAAGCTGTTGCTGCAATAACTCTGGTGACAACTCAAGCTCACAAACTGCTCCCTTCCCTCTTTCCTTAGGAGGTCCCCAGGGAGCACCTTCCGAAAGACCACTTGCACCCAGCATGTGCTTCTTGGGCGATGATGAGCCCTTGGAATGCTCCAAATACACATGAGGCCCAAAGGAGGTAAAGTAAATAAACATCAGAACTGGAGGAATTCTGTAAAAGGAAGGAAAACTCCTGGTGACAAGGTAAACTAAGTTTAAAACCTTCCATTTTTCAACTGGATCCTGTTTTTTAAAATTTAAAAATAGGTTTCATGTAAATCAATGCCCTGAACAGTGCGTGGCACAGACTAAGTTTTCAAAATGTGTACACTGACATTGAATGAGTATATGTCAAATATAGCTTCTTCTTCTTCATCTTCTTCTTCTTCTTCTTCTTCTTCTTCTTCTTCTTCTTCTTCTTCTTCTTATTATTATTATTATTATTGGCGATGCTAAGGATCAAACCCAGGGCCTCGCACATCCTAGGCAAGTGCTGTAGCACTGGGCTGGCCTCCCGCTGCCTGTCATAGGTTATTCTGAAGTAGAGTTGGCCTGAAGAGTGGAGAGGGGTCTTCACCCTGTGCCCGCCCCTCTCAGGCAGCCAAGTGGATGAAGCTCTGCATCCCATGTCCCACACTTGGATCCCTGAGGCTAGGGTGGTACCGTGGCCCCAGCACCTTGCAGGGTGAAGCCTCTGGGTGTCCCTGGCCCAGCCCATGAGACACTGACCTGCGATGGTGAGGATGCAGAGGAAGATGGCCACTAGAGCCTGGATGCTGACGCCCGCTTGGGCGACCGCCTCCTCACAGAAGGTAAACTTGCCCTGCTGGTTGCATTTGCACACGGCCACGGTCAGTGTGTTGGTGCTCGTCAGGCTTGGGGAGCCATTGTCCGAGATGAGCACAGGCAGGTAGTGGAACTTGGCGTGCTCCCGGTCAAATGGCCCGTACTTGACTGTGATGTTGGCTGTGTTATCTGGAATCACCAAGGCCACAGAGTGAGGCTCTGCCGGGAGTGTCTGCCCCTCATTCCATGGAGCAAGCTGCCTCCTCTGGTGAGCCCTCCTTTGCTGAGCCACTCCCAGTGCTGATCCCGCCATTTGCATCCCGCCATTTGCATTTTCCGCCATTTGCATTTTCTACCTCTGGTTTTAGTCATGTGCCTTTTCCTCTGCAGAGGAGATGTTTGGGGCAGCTGCCTTGACCTAGCCTGGAAGAATGGCTGAGCCAGAAAGTAAAATCCCCACTCTCTTGTTCTGTGGGCAACTGATACAGGTGTCCCCTTCTTTTTCCTTAACCCCACCACAATTACAGGGGCTTTTCTTCTTTGGCACAACTAATTATTGCTTCAAACTTTCACAAGCAATGGGGAAACATTTTAAAAAGTGTTTTAGCACTGGGCTAGCTTCTAGAGCTGTTTTTGCTATCTCTGAAAATCCATCATTATAGAGGAGGTTTGCAGCAGTAAAAACAATGCTTTCATTCCCTGGGGTAGGAGTGACAGTCTTCACCGCTACCCCAGCCCCAGTCACTTGTTTTCTTATAAAACTCTCCCAGAGAGCTTTTTAAACATCCTGATTTTAAGGCCATTCCCTTCATTTCACTCCAGAAACACACACACACACACACACACACACACACACACACACACATACACACATACTTTATTAATTCAGTGGCTGGGGACAAAGGCAGGGTACTCTGCCCTTTGTAGATTCTGGGGAGGTTGTAAAGCTGATGGTTCAAGGATTTTCTTAGCTGTTATGGTTTATGTCTGAATATCCCCCAAAGTCTCATGCAGTCATGGGGCAGGCTTCTAGAGTTTATGATTGATTCATGGTCCAATGTTGGGATTATAGGTGTGAGTGCTACACCAGCCCTGGGGTGGGTGGTTTGCATACAGTGTAAAGGAGGGAAAGAGGCTGCTTGCTGCCACTCCTCCCTTTTGCTTTTGTTGCTTTTGCTGTTTTCTGCCACCATGAACTGTTGCCCCTGCCATATGCCACTCTGCCTTGGAGCCAGCTGACTATAGACTGAATTGTTCACAAACTGGAAGCTAAATAAACCTTTCCTTCCTTAATTCTGGGGGTCAGGTATTTTGTCTCAGCAATGAGAGAAAAGTAACTAAGACCCCTACTCAGGTAGAGACGTTTGAGAATCCAGCCAAAAGTCAAGGATTTCAAATGAAAGTCAATTACATTTCATTATCCATAATTTCATTTCAGTCTTAGGTCTATTATGATTGAAAATAAATTATATGCCGTTAACACTTTATGGGAGAAATTAGAGATTTTGACATTCAGAATGTGAGTGGCTCTGAGACCAATAGGCTTATCTCTTGACTGCATCTGGGGTGTCCTTGGGGAGGCACTTAAATTTTCCATCTCATTGCACTACCATATTCATTTCAGGTTGCCATTGGAAATGGGATGACAGGCATTTTTGATATATTATTTACTACTTGTTATGGCTTGTATCTAGATGTTCTCCCAAAGCTTCATGTGGTCATAGGTGGGAAGTTTAGAAAGTGGCTGGACTAGGGTGTGTGAATGTGGATTAAGGTATGATACTGGATTAAGGCTGTGGATAATGGAAGCTCCACCCTGGGTGTGGGTGGCACCAATCAACAGGCTTATAGCTTATATAAAGGGAGATAGGGAGGGCAGACTGCTGCTGCTGCTTGCTGCTCCCTCCTACTATACCATTAACTGTTTTTCCTCTGTGATGCTCCTCCACTATGCTACCCTGCCTTGGAGTGAGCTGACTATGGACTAAAGCCTCTGCAGATTGTGAGCTGAAGTAAATCTTTCCTTCTTTAATGTTGAGTGTTGGGTACTTTTATCATCAATGAAAAAAGTAACTAAGATGCTACTTAAGACATCTGAGTGTTGGATTATCTGTTATCAATTATCAACACATCATTGCCACTCCTTTCTTCATCCACACATGCACACAGGCCTTCCTCAGGAGCATTCATGGCTTCATATGATGGGTCTGTAGCTGATTCCCTGGGTCTGACCTGAACTTTCTGGGCCTTCATCCCTAGCCTTCTCCAAAGATGGCAATAGTTTTGCCAACCAGGGACAGGCAGAGACAACCTCCCCCTCCCCCTTATGCCTAAAGAGGATTTTCTCTAGTTTCCTGAGGAAATTTTAGAGGCCATGGAAGCTTCTCTACCTCTAGACTTAAAATCAATGTGGCATCATCACTTGGGTAGCGACATATTCATTAGAAGAGCTGATTGGTTACTACTGACCTCACAGCACTTGCTAAGCTTTGTGGGGTGGACCAGATGTGCTATGCTGTGCTGTGGTTTGTGGACTAGATCCTGTTTAGGGGCCACCTGGTAGTAAGTAGCCATTGTAGCTGAATGAAAATTTACTGTATCTATGACTTCATATTTCCAGTAGTCATGCTTTGAGGGTGACCTCAAAATTCCATGTGCTGTAGCAATTTGCAATTTCACTGAGGCAGTGAGGCACAGAGTTACTGGTGTGAGAAGAGTCCCACTGGCTAATGAGTTGACCTGACTGCATGCACTCCCATATCTATTCTATATTCCTCCTGACCTAAGCATCTTTGGGGGACCCACAGGCCATGTGGAGTGGGAAGTCTGGCCAGGGTGACTCTGATCATTGTATGAGCCCATTCTACAGTGTGTGTGGCAGGAGTTGTACAAAATACCCTGCGATACGCAAATCCCCATGGAGGGCTTCCCCCATGTGTTGGCTTAGTCCTTGACCTTAGTGCTTCAAAACTCAACCTCACCCTGACCTTGCAAAGTGCCAGCTCATTGCTTTGATGCTCACCGTGATTGTCTATGAGGGTGAAGTTGCTCTCATCAGTGCCCAGGGCAAACTTGAACTTGACATTTTGTGGCGTTATATCCTTGTCTGTTGCGGAGATCTGTACAACCAGCTGGAATGTAGGAGATGGGAGATGGTCATTGTTGTGTTGGGGTGGCCTGGGGTTCAGCACTGGAGACTTTGGGTTTAAACTTAACCAAAGCTGTTGCTCAACTGCAATACCAAGCTGGATGGTCTCCACAAAGCCGGTTTTGCCACCCACCCCCACCAACCTTCTCTCCAAAATTCTCTCAGCCTTACTTTCTCTATCTGTAAAATGAGGATATGCTTACTTTCCCTCACTGCTGTTGTACCTTCCATTAAGCTCAGTGGAGCTTGAGGATGGGTGGGTGGAAAGGGTCTGCCTTTCAACCTGCCACCAGATGATAGTGCCTCTCCTTCCCACCCAGCCAGACTCACCTTGCCCTGGGCTGCATTCTCACACACTTTGGGGTCATAGGGCTGAGCAAACTCTGGGGCATTGTCATTCTCATCCAAAACTTCAATGTGGACCTGCACAATGGACTCTTTCCCTGTGGGGTTTCCTGCAGAGAGAAGGAATTGTCACCACAGTGGGTTTAGCGGATGCTGGCCTCTGGTGGTTGAGGGATGTTTGGATGGGTGGACTGGCACGGTGTCTGGTGAAGGTCACTATTTGCAGGAAGATGGCACTATAGACCTCTGGAAGAGAGACCAGGGATGACATTCTGCATAAAGGAATGTGGAGGAAGATGGGGTGGGGTGAATCTTCAGACACGAGGACATTTGCTGACATGTAAGAAATTTATATGAGGAAATTCACATGGCTTGTAAGAATAAAAAAGGTAAACAATCTAAGTGCATTTTAAAAGATTTTAATTCAGTTAAGTAAATAAATATAATTTATTGAATAATACAGTTTAATAATAGATAGTTATGTAATTACTTAAGTAGAAATTCATCCCCCCTCTGAGCTCCAGTGAGATCCTAGGGATCATGGGAATATTAGCTGTTCTTCTGGATGGTGGTTGTGATTTCCTCTCATATGTCAAGGTTACAAAGCCCCTGACACTTGCCCTTGCATCAGAAATTACAGAATTTATGGAAAACCTAATAATCTCGATTTGAAAGCTGCCTCAGGGTTTGAATTCGCCCATTAACTGGTGCGAACAGCTGTGCCACCAAGGAGCATTTAAAAAACATCCTTGATAATCAGAACCATGTGGTGCTTGATAGTGCGTATCCTTGTCCCATCTTTGCTCACTGGATCAGAATCCCCAGGGAGGAGTCTGAGAAGCTCTGTGTCTAGTAGGTACCTTAGGTAATTTTCATCACAGGGGCATCTATACCACACTGCCAGTTTTGTAACAGTGCTTCCCAGACTCTGATGTGCCTGAGATTTTGATTCAGCCTGGGATAGGAGTGAGATTTTGACTTCTAGCAAGGTCTCAGGTGATGTAGGTGCTGCTGGTCTGCGGTGAACACTCAGGTATGACAGCTTGATAGCCTCCCAGCTAAAGAGAGCTTCAGCAGGGCTTGTAATACCTCTAGTGACCCCAAGGGACAGATGATGGCCATTTTGAAAGAATGGGAGAAAAGATGAAGAGCCAAAGTCTTCTGTGATATGGAGCTACTCACCGTTAGAATCCAGTTCATTGGCCTCCACAGTCAGGTTGTACCAGGGGTAGATTTCCCTGTCCAGTTCTTTCTCATTGTGAATGTCACCCTGTTTGGTTACTCGGAAGAATTGGCCCTTGTCACTGGTGGGGCGGATGGAGTATCTGCCAAGGAGAGAGTTTTATGGTTTTCCACTCTTTTTTTTTTTATTAAGTCAAAATCCTCAGCATGACAGAAGAGGTCCTTCAGGATCGGTCCCCAGAATCCTTCCTCATCTTCTTCTCCAACTGCTTAGACCCGTATATCAAACACTGAGGGACTCACTGTCGTGAGGTGATGTCTGGTCCGGGTGATGCTGCTATCTTAGGAGTGAATAGGGTACCTGAGACTTCACCAGCAGCAGAGCTAAGCAGGTAACACCATAATCAAGTGTACCACAACTGAGATTGATTTTATGATTAATAAAAAGACATGTGGTCAATACCCAGGAAGAAATGCAAAAGGAACTGGAAGAGAATAGAAGTAATAGTAGAGAAATTTGGGAATGAAAAATGTGAAAAAAGTCTTCCAGAAACCAGGAAAAAGATTATGAAGAGATGAATGTACAAAGACATACATACACAATGAAAATTTTTTCTGTTACTGAGGAAGCTTCAAGGACAAATATACCACAAGAAATGACAAAAATATAATAAGAGAACACTTTCCTGACCTGAAGAAAGATCTGAGTCTATAGATTAAAAGATGTGATTGATGCCAGGCATAATTTTAGAAAGAAAATATTTAGGTACATTCTGAGGACACTGTGGAATTTCAGGTTATGTGAAGGAACTTAAGAGCTCAGATGTTCAGGAAAAAATTAAATTTCTTATGAAGAAAGAGAAACCAGATGACTCCACACAATTAAATGTTAGAACACACTGATAGTATTTTTGAAGGGAAGAACCTATAACCTGGGGACTGTGTGAACACAATCAGGTCTTAAAGTAGTGAGGGAAAGAACTAAGTTTTTGTAAATATACAAGAACTAAGGAAATATATCACCTACAAGAATAAGTGGGTGATATACTTAAAATTTGTTTTGGAAAACTTACTCTAGAAAAAGTCTCAATATAAAGTAAAAACCTGGTTTTGGAGGAATTCAAATGAAGCTATTGATTTCTTTATCATACATATAAAAGTAATGGTGTGTAATATTTTTAACTAGAAAAACATTTAAAATTTTTACAGATAGAAGTGAATGTCATTGGTAGAAGCCCTCAAGTACATAATCCATCCAAATACCTAAGAGAGAAAAAATTTTATTGTAAAGATGAGGGACAAGAAAAAACTCTTACAATTGAGAAATGTAAAACAAAGAGATAAAAGAAATAAGATGAAACATGAATTATAGTGAAAAATATAAATAGGTTAAACACAGTACATGGCAGTTTAGATTACAAAACAAAGCTAAGTGCATTCTGTTTTCCAGAGACATCTTAATGTGAAATGACCTAGAAATGTTAAAGTGAAGAGTGGATAATTTATATCAGGCAAATAAGATTAGCATGAAACAGGGTTGGCAAAATCAATGCCAGGCAACACGGAACTAAGAGCCAAATATTGAAATGGAACAAATTGGGTAATTTCATATGGATAAAATTTATAAACCATAGTGAAGGTAAAATAGTTGTAAGTCTTAGTTATTCAGATTGAAAAATTAAAATACATAAAATAAAAGTTTCAATATCTTAGGAAAAAATAGACACAAACATAAATGTATCGCAACATAGGACAAGCTGGAACAAATTTTCAAAATTCTCAATATTTGTAAATAAAAAAAATTAATTCCCTAAATAAAACCCTGAATCAGAGAAGAAACAAAAATTATGAATAGACTATATAGAATAGAATGGCAATGAAAACAGTAGTCCCAAAATGTATGAGACTGACCAAAAGGGAAGGATTTATTTTGTATTTAACAAGAAGATATAATGCTCCAAAAACATCAGCCCTTCCAGAATTGATACACAAACAATTCTTATTGGAATATCAATGTTTTTTAAACAACTAGATAAAAAGATTTTAAAGATCATATGGAAGAATGAGTATATGAACTTGGCTAAAAATTATATATAATAAAAACACAATGAGTGAAGTATTGTCTTATAATACTAAAATTTAGTAGAAAGCTGCTATACTACAGAATGCTACAGAACAATAGAGGAAGAATTTAGAAATAGATGCAGGAACATACAAGAATTTAGTATATAGCAAGTAAGTGGTGGGAATAATTGGCTACTCATGTGGAATAAAACACAATTGGACTGAATTCATACTTGCAAGTGAGTTAGAACTACTTCTTTTGTTCCAGAGGATGGAGGAGTAGAGTCTTAGTAAGGACAGATGAGCAAGTACTATGTTTTGACGTGTCCCTCAAAAGTTCATGTGTTGGTGAGACAGACTTGGTGGTCCAGCCTGTAATCCCAGCACTCTGGGAGGCTAATGAAGGAGAATTGCAAGTTCAAGCCCAGCCTGAGCAAATAAAAGACTTAGCAAGGTCCTGTCTTGAAAAAAAAAAAGAGGTTGGGGGGGTACCTCTGAGCAAAGACCTTGGGTTCCATATCCAGTAATCCCCCACCACCAATGTTCCTGTTGGAAACTAATGCCAAGGTCCTATATTAATGGAATTTGGAGGTAGGGTCACTGGGAATTAAATAGGATTAGATAGGTCAGGAGGGTGTGGCCCTCAGATGGCATTAGTAGCTTTATAGGATGAGGAAGAGAGATTTGTGTTGGCACGCTTGCTCTGTCTGAGCAGGTGATGCCCTCCCCCATGTGAGGATGCAGTAAGAAGGCCCCCCCCCAATGCCAGCACTGGCTGTTGGCACCATGCTTTTGATCTTCACAGTCTCCAGAGTTGTGTGCGAATTTTTAGTGAATTACCCAGTCTGTGGTATGAGGCTACAGCAACAGAAAACAGAGGAGAGAGAAAGTATCAGTGAAATGGGTATGAGAGGATAACAAAGATTAAAACGATTGAACTCTGGAACCAAACAACAACAAATCCAGCAGAAATGTGTGGGCCCAAAGAAAGGCGTGACAGGACCATGTCAAGTCACTTGCATGAGCCATTTGGGAGTGCGACTCATCCAAGTTCTCTTTATAGAGCTTTGTGTCATTTCACCATGTAAAGTAAACACTTTTTTTGTAGTTTTTGGGAAACAAATAAAACATGAATGAAATGCTTTTGGCACAGGGGCTTCAGGTATGTCACCTGATTGGCTGTTTCTTGATGGTCAAGTGTCACTAGATGGGATGCATGGGAGCTGTGGTCCACAGCACAGGGACTTCAGGTGGAAGGCTCACTAATCACTGCCACTGCTCACTGAGAGCTTTGTGGACTCCGGAGGCTGTGTGTCTCCCCCGCGTGCCTCTGGTCTACAGCGTGAGGCTGCACTCAGGAAGGATTCAGGTTTAGGATCCCCAGCCTTCTCTGTGGACCTTCTGGAGGCAATTTTATGCCCTTCCAAGACTCCTCCCTCATCCTCCAGATTCAGTCTGGCTTTTCTGTTAGCAGCAGAAGATAGCCTGGGCCATGCAGGGTGGGGTGCCCTGGCAGGACGAGACCCCAGGAGGCCATGAACATTACTGGGAAGAGTTTAGGCATCCAGTCTTGCCTCTGCCACTTCCCATGCAAGTGTGGGAGAAGCCAGTTTCTCTCTCTAAGTTTTGGGCTCAACCCAGCAGGAAGAAGAACATCAAAGATAGGCCAATCACCGTCATGAACACGCCCACTCTCCTTACCTGATTTTCCTCCCGGCCTTGTCGGGGTCCTTGGCCAGCACTGAACCGATCAGATGTTTCTTCTGGTTCTCCTTCAACAGGAAGTGATAGAAGAGCTTCTGGAAGACAGGGGGCTCATCCACATCCAAGATGTTGATGGTGACATGGGCTTTGTTTTTCCCAGAGAGGTTGCTCAGGTATCTGAGGTTGATAGTGGGGTCTGTGGCCTCGATGAGAAATGAGTATTTTTGGATGAGCTCGTAGTCCAGGGGCTATGAAAGGAAAAAACACAGCGATACCTGCTTTGAGTCAAGTACGTACCATGTGATTGCACAGCCACCCTGCAAGGTGGTTCTGGAATGACACCCACTGGACACAGTAATCTGGAAGGTGATAACTCCAAGGTCATTAAGAGATACCTAGGCCTGGTGTTTATCTTCCGCTTTTTTGTTTCATTTCACCAGTCTCAGGGCCTTTCCCCGGCCTGGTTCTCTGCCTGGCCCTGTGCCAAGTACGGAGGACGTGTAGTCCATCAGCCATGGTCCTGTTTTCAAGTGGATCGTGGACTCTTGATCTATCCACAGGTTCTCACTGACCTGCCTTTTCTTTATATCTTTGCTCAAGACAGTTCTCCTGAGCTTGCCTGTGTGGCAAATTTCTATTCATTCCTCAAAAAGCCAACGAGAAGGTAATCAGATGTCCTCTCAGAGCCCCCTGCTGACAAAGAACTGCTCCCTGCCTAGCATTGCTGTGTAGCACTAAACAGCAGCTGTATTTGTGTGTGTGTGTGTGTGTGTGTGTGTGTGTGTGTGTGTGTGTGTGTGTATCTGCCTTCCCTGCTCACTGAGAGCTTTGTGGACCCTGGAGGCTGCGTGTCTCCCTTGTGTGCCTCTGTCTCCAGCATGGGGATGCACTGGAGAAGGATTCAGGTTCAAGATCCCTAGCCCTCTTTGTGGACCTCCTGGAGGCATTTTTATGCCCTTCTAGGACTTCTCCCTCATCTTCCAGATTCAGTTTGGCTTTTCGGTCAGCAGCAGCCACTTTCCATAGGCATTTGTGTCTCCAGGCATTTATAGTTTTCCTGTCTGTTGATGACTTTCAAGTGGCTGGGACATAGGGCAGCCCAGAAGATGTCAGAGGGTCAATATCTCAGGAGCAGTGACCTTTCAACACTGGTGGGGTTGCTATATGAACACTCCAGCTCCTTTCCCCAGATGCTGTACCTCTGAGATGGGCTCTGCATGGTCTCCAGGGATCCCGCATGAGACTGGGCCCCACCTGTCTACCTGCTCATTGGTGAGCTTCACCTTAGCTTCCTTTTTTTTTTCACCCGTCATTGCCCCTAGGGCTTCCTGGGGTCACCTCCCAAATTATACCCAAATCATTGCCTCCATTCTATCTGGGGGTAACCCAGCTTGAGACACTGTGTGAGTCTCCATGACGCAGAGCCCATGCTGAGCCAATCCTGAGTGTTCTCCATGGGTGACTTCTCACTCAGGTGCAGCCCCTGGGCATGTGGATGCTGTGAGCCCCAAACTCTGTCTGATGCCATTAAAACAGGCCTACAAACCTTTATGGGCTTGATGATGCCCTCGTTGCGGGTGGGGTCTGTCTCGATAGTGAAGGTATCCCTGTACTCGCCCCGCAAGATTTCAAACTTGGTCATCCTATTCTGAGGCTCGTCTGGGTCCTCAACGAACAGAGAGCCCACAGAGCTGCCCACGCGGATGTTTTCAGGCACTGAAAATGTGTACGTAGCTGCAAATAGGTACCCAAAATAACACTGGGTTAACAAGATAGACAAAGCATATTACCTACTATATTGTGATATAAGAAATGGTACAATAAAATAAAGGTAATAATGGTAATAGTAATACCCTTGGGATTCTGAGTCCTAAGGCAAAGCAGTGTGTTCTGTCTATCCCTCCCTCCCTCCTTCTTTCCATCCAACAAGTGGTTATTAAGCACCCACTGGATGACAGATGCTTTGCTAGGAGACCAATCAATTGACAAGAGGGATAAGTCTTGCCTTTGGGGGGCTTACACCATACACAGTAAGGCTATTTCAGGAGAATTGGCCTATCTTTGGGCTGGGTGAGCCTCTGATTTATATCAGCACTGGAGGCTGCAATGAACACAGCCTCACCCATGGCATGAGAACTCTGGTCAGGCAATTTTTAGTGCAGAATCAATTTGTGGGTGGGGTCAAAGCCCAGTTTGGGCTCTACCCCTCCTCATTATTAGTTCAATGGGATTTTCTAGCTGGAGCCTGAGAGTCAAGGGCCTGGGTTTTCCCGAGCCCATGGGATCTGGGTGAAACTGTTCCTATCTTACAGTAGTGGTATTCAGTAGGAATGATTTCCCTCTGGTCTGTGAGAAGAGCACAACCAGGGAATGATGGACTTGGAAGTGTGGTACAGGGATAGATACAGGGCTCCTCCCACACAGGTGGAAGAGAGGTAGAAGGGGTTTGGGGAACCTCTCCTTGACTCCAAAATCACTAAGTTTGCAGAATCCCAACTCCCGCCTGCCCAGGGCCCTAGAGGAGGGGCTCACGCTGAGTGAAGATGGGGAAGTTGTCATTGATATCTTGCAGAGTGATCAGCACGGTGGCTGTGCCTGATTCTCCTCGGAGGCCCTCGGCATCTTGTGCCTCCACCACGATCTCGTACCTGGCCTGTACTTCTCGATCCAGGTTTTGCTTTGTAGTAGTAATTAATCCTGCAAAAAAATGTTTCCAAGAGCCATGTTACTGGGAAGCTTTGAGAATATATGCATGCCTGAGCCCTTCCTAGTGAGAACGGAGGCAGTTCCAGTGTGCAGCCAGAGAGGGCCAAAGAACACGGTCTGATTTCATCCTAGTTCTCTGGAACATTATGCTGAGAAAGCTCAGGAAGCCACATCCAGACACAGAATGAAAGGGTGCTGTGATGGATTAGTGATGTCTACTTCAGCACACCATAGGATTGTAGTGGCATCTGTTCTTTGTATTTGCTGTCCTTCTCAAAGACAGGTGCCCCAACCCACTGAACTGGCTTTCTTGCTTCTAAGATGCAGTCCTTAAAGCTTTTAAGTTTGTTAAATCAAACTAAATTTGGTCAAAGAAAACCTCTGTACTTCCTTGAGTCCTTTTGTAACAAACTGCAACCTAACTCAGTATGTAAATGAGCAGAAAGCCTAATTTAAGCCTGTACTCAGTCAATCACAGCAGCTGTGCTTCCGTCAGTCACAGGTGGCCAACCGTTTACCTCTATTCAAATACGGCAAAAACCCAAGTTGTAACCCATCCACCTGTTTCTGGGCCTCACCTCTGCTTTTAACTTCTTTGATCTTAAATTTTATCTAACCATGTGTTTTCCTGAGCCTGTTTTTGTTCTGGGGCTTCTTGATTATGAACTGTTCATTGCTCAATTAAACTCTAGTAAACTTAATTTGTGAAGTTTTTCTTGTAATGAGAAAGTCACTGGAAGCTATGTGGTTATGCTCTCTCTATAATTCAAACTTCGCAGCTACCACATGAGATGACAGAAAGCAGTCCTATTTTTTTAGATTAGGAAACTGAGGCTCACAGAGCTTAGTAGATTTGTTGAAGGTCTCTGCAGGAGTGGGTAGAGCTGGGTTCGGAAACCAGATCAGTCTGAACCAGTGTGTGTAAAGAACTGTTAACCAGCATTCTTTGTGGCCTCTCGGTCACTGCTTGGATAACAAGATCCTGATTTTGTCCCTTGGACTTGGATCCATGTTTTGGATGTCCTGCCTTTGTTTCCCCCAACCAGCTTCTCTTCTTGTCTTTATGCATGATATCAGTCACTTCCATGGATCAGTGTGGTTCAGTGGTTTGTGACAACTGTCAGGATGGATTTCTCTTGGCATCGGCATCTGGAGTATTTCCATTCCCTCATCCCTCCAATTGGTGCCCACACAGGGGAATTAGTCACACAGACCTGAATTGTCGATGGCAAAGTTCTCACCCCCCTTCAGGATTTGGTACATGACAGTGGTGTGCTCTGCCACGGTGGGGTCATCTGCATCTACTGCTGTCAAACGCATGACTGAAGTCCCTGTGGGGAGAGCGTCCTGGGGTTACTACCTTGTGACTGTGAACTCTCATCCCATTCCTGGGTGAGGGCAGATGGGCACTGCTGTCCCCAACTCCTAAGTCTCTTGGTTTCCAGAGAGCCCTGCACGAGGTCAACATGCTGGCAATGTTGGGCTCTGTAGGTCAAACTTAAAGAGGAAAAGAGAACAGGTAGCTTACGTACACATAGGTTGTGTGTGTGTGTATGTGTGTGTGTGTGTGTGTGTGTGTGTGTGTGTGTGTGTTGTGGATGATGAGGTCAGGAGTAGAAGCCCAGGGTCACGAGTCATTCCTCCCTTTCCAGAAGGATGAGAACAAGGACTGGGAAGGAAATGGGAATGACCCCAAAGGGACAGCCTCACACATACCAGGAAGGTCTGGCCCCACACTCGGACAGGATCTTGGACCAAGGAGGAGGAGAGGGAAGATGTTTTCTGGTACCTTCTGGATGTAGGATTGAAGAAGGAGCAGTGACCTCCTGAGCCCAGGTCTAGGCTGGTGACACACTTCGGGACCAGGGGTCTGTCCTCCATTGCCACTGCTACAGAACTCCTAGAGATAGCTTTTCTTACGCTGGTGGCAGGGCTTGTCATAATACAGGGGAAAAGCTACATTCTTGGTGTGTCAGTCCTAGGAGTCAGAGGCAGTGGGTTGGGGTTGTTATGAAGAGTAATGGGATATGTGTGTCCCTGATGACCAGGGCTCGGTCCATGATGAAGAGCAGGGCTCAGTTTGTGTCTAAGATCAGAGCTCAGTCTGGGAGTGAGTCAGAACTTAGCTTTTAGGGATCAGTTTTTTCAAATTCCTTAAAGCGGCAGCGCAGGCATTACAGCAACTTCCCTGAACTCACTGAATCCTGACCTCGGGCAATGAAATGACTGATGTAAGAGTTACTTCCAGGCTAGGGATGAGCAAGAGAGGAGGGGAGGGACAGATTGGGCACGTACCCCCAGGTGACATCTCAAGCACCGAAGCATTGAACAGCCGATGCGTGAACACGGGCCAGTTGTCATTTATGTCATGAACTTTGATAGTGAAGGTGGAGGGAGACTCCAGGTGGACACCGCTGTCTTTGTCCACGATGAGGGCAACAAGGGGGTACGAGGACACCTTCTCCCGGTCGAGCCTTGCAAAAGCATACACATCCCCTGTGTCTGGATTGACCTTGAAAATGCTGTCAGCAGCCTCTCCTTGGAGGACATACTTGGCATTCTTGCGGTTCACACTTGACTTGATCTGGGAAAGAAGATGAAACATGAGTTGAGAACAGGCAGTGTGACTGTGTGTGCACATGTGAGTGTGGACATGTATGGGTGTGCGTGCACGTAGGCATGTCTGTGCATGTGTGTGCATATGTGTGTCATACAGACCAAGGAGCCCAAATGTGACAGTAAACCTCCCAACCTGAGTTGTTCTTAGACACAAGACACGAACACCATGCTGGTGTGAGTTGACAAACAGCACTCAATACCCAGAATGGTGTCCGGAGCATAGTAAGTCCTTGAAGACATTTTTGAGTGGAAGAATATCTTGGTGCATGGGAAGGCAAGGGACATCTCTCTTCTCTGCTTTGTTACCTTGTTGGTGAAATGGAGCTAACACTACTTCTGAAGTCCAGCTGCTCTAAGGAGCAGAGCAGCAGTTTTGAAAATGAATTCTAGGAAAACTGGCCTCTTTTGCTGTTCTGTACAAAAATGGGGTTCTGTCAGTGGGGTGCTGGAGCTGGGTTGTGGCAGCGTGGTTTCCCAGAGTGAGCTTAACTCTTCAGGAATGTTTGTGAGCTGGCTGTTAAATACAGCCATTATTAAAAATTAAATTCTATAAACTTACAATTAAATAGATCACACTATTAAACCAAGGTCACAAATACTCAGAATGCATCACTTTTTAATTATTTTACAAGATTTTACTATATTCTTGAGCTTTGTCTATGTCTTTGTACAGGTGTGATCGGAACACTGACTAAGGATGAGTCCTTGCACATCTCCCAGCTCTGCCTTCCGTGGTGCCCTGCCCCCAAACCAGGCACGGTGAGGACACTGACACGTGGAGATTGGCAAATGCTATACATCAGGACTTTTTCCCCAAAAGGGACGCTTGTCCCAACTGGTCTCATCAATTTAGCTTTGGAGCAGAACGTAGAATGTTCTCTTCTTGGAGATTTACAATGTCCAGTCCCGCAGAAAATGACTTGTTTAACTCAGGATTTCCTGTACTTCTTAGATCAATGAACCATTCTTCTTTGGAACATGTGCTATTATGATTTGGCATAAGATTTGGAAAGTAACGTATGTCAAGTACTTTGCACAGAACAGGCTTTCAATAAATTCTTGCTCCTGTATTATTAATGATAGATCTGCAAGTTAAAGGATATTCAAAGGTTAAGAGTGCTGAACTTTCCAGATATGGAATCATAGAGCATACTAGGACCATGAGATAAGTGTTTCATGCATGTAAAATAGTACTCTTCTAGATGATTAAAATGTCCAGAAAAATAGAATTTAGTTTAAAAAATAGTGCTAGGTCCCACATTAGAGGCACGGAGGTAGTAGAGACCCCATCCTCGCTCTCAAGGCGAAGGCTTGAAGCTGTGGGATCTGAAGGCCCGAAGTCAGGTAGCACTCAAGGATCAGTCAGAGCAAAAGCCTTGGTAGCTGTCCCACGAGGACTTCTCAGAGAGGCTGGAGGAGGACTGTGGAAGTGTGGGGCCTCAGGAGAGAAGAGAGAGATGTGAGGAGGCTGTGGTCCAATCCCACGAGGTCTAGAACATGTCTCCTGGGCTTAGCAGCAATGAAATCACTGGGGCCTTGCTGAGAGCAGTGACAGCTGGTGGAAGGTGCAGAAGCCAAATGACAGAGAGTACAGAAGAGTCTGGAAGGTCAGGGAGTGGAGACAGGGAGGGAGGGCGCTTTCCCTGTGCGGGTAGAAGGTGGGCAGCCTGTAGCAATAGCAACATCCTGGAGCAGGACTGTGGTGGTGATGGGCAGTAGGTGGGCCCATAAGTAGGTGGGTCCCAAGGCCTAGTGTCCAGAATTATGATAAACATCTGGAGGGGGACAAAAGCTCTGTAATCTCTGCTGCACAGGGACAGAGGGACTCAAAACAAAGGGACAGTCTGGGGCCTTGTGTGAGCTGTTCAGGTTAGGGTAAGATGGCAGTTTGCAAACTGGATTCCTGGTACATGTCTTAAGATTCACCGGGCAGGGATGGCGAGGGGGTGTGTGAGTCTGCTTGGATCTGTGTATTGGAGCTCTGCCTAAGACTTCCTGTGCAGTTAAGCTTTTGTTCCCTCCCTTTCCCAATTTTTCTTACACAATCATTATTTTCTAGAACAGATTTTAGATTTACAGAAAATTAAGAAGATAGTGAGTTCCTGTACGCCTGCTCCCTTTCCTTCTCATTTCAATCTCTTACGTTAATGTGGCGCAGTTGTTATAGTAAAGATGCCAATACTGGTGTATTACTACAAATAACCGAAGTCCACAATCTGTGTAGAATTCTTTGCTTTTTTTCTAACCTCATGTCCTTTTCCTGTTCCAATACCACATTTGAGATATCGCGTTACAAGTTCTTTTTGTCTGTGGCAGTTTCTCAGACTTTTATTATTTGTGATAACCTGGGCATGTTTTGAGAAGTACCAGTCAGGAATTTTGTAGGATGCACTTCTCTTGGCATTGATCTGATGTTTTTCTCATGATTAGACTAGAGTTATGGGTTTTGAGGAGCCCTCCATTGGACAGAATGCCTTAATGACGAAAGCCACTCTGGTACACATGTATGGATTCAGAAGGCTTCTCAGGGCTGGCTCTCATTGTCCATCCAGGTCTGTAAACAAAGCCTCCAGGCTCTAGCCCTGATAAACAGACTTCCTTCCCTCCAATTACATCCTTGGGCGTGGGGAGCCAGGAGGTGATCCCTGCAGCCCTGTGCTTGCCTTTTCAAGGGATCCTTGATTCCTCCTAGGGCGGGGACCACATATGACCCATGTCAGTTGCCAAACAAACGAACACCCATATATGACGCAGGCTGGATGTTCTTTCTGCTGTTTGCAGGCCTTTGGGTGAGCCCTTTAAAGGTTGTCCTCCCAGGGCCTGACACAATGCAGTGGCCTCACTTTCCGCTGACTCTCCCTGACTCACCAGCAGATTTTCCCTGTGCCCAGCCGTTCTCCTCAGAGGATGATTCATGGCACAATTATCCCACGTGGAAGGATGTAGGTGGCTTGACGATATTTCCCTCTCTACCAAGGGGCTCACATTTGCATTAGAATCCGGAGCTCCTGAGTTTCATAGGGTTGTTTTGATCTCACTGTGTAACCCTGGACTTGTGTCTTTCCCTCTGACTGGCCATGTTGGAAGATTTACATTTCCACGTCAATCATTTTGGGGAGCTAGAAGAGCCTATAGTCAGTCAGCAGGCTGTGGGTTCGATTGTGATAGGAGATTCCCCAGCTGGCACCACCCATTTCTTTTGGCTGTGGGGACAATTCTGTGCCATGGCCAGACTCTCCCTCACATGAGAGGCTCCTCTTCAGCCTGTTTCTCTATCCCCAAAAGGTTCTCATAACTGCTGTTGGGTTCTTTGTCTGATGTATACTGATCCTCTAGATCAGGATGGGTAAACTCTGTAAAGGGCTAGGGAGTAAATGTTTTCAGCTGTGTGGGTTATATGATCTTTTTCACAACTATTCAACTCTGCCATCTTAGCATGGACAATTTGTAAATAAGTGGATGTGGCTGTGTTCTAATAAAACTTTATTTACAATTCCAGGCAGGTGCCAGATTTGGTCAGCAGGCAGTAATTTGAAGATCCTGTTGTAGGCCCCTGTCTCTATGATAGCGGGGACCATGTCTGTCTTTCCCTGCTGCTGTTTTTCTAGCATCTGGTTTAGCACTTGGAGCAATTAATCTTTTCTCTGGTGCATTTGACTTCTTTATTGTAGAACGGGTGTGTAGATTTGAAAGAGCTGACATGGTGAGATTTTAATGGAGTTGAAGCTTTCTCAGAATCTTTATTTATTGCAGAATACTCTCAATATACCTAGTCCATTTATCTGTTATTGTGTGTAAAATTCTATCATGAGGGCCATTCCTTTGAATTAGAGTTGATGGTTTGACATCTGTGACAATTTGACATGTGAGACAGTTTGGCACTCCCTTTAGCTTCAGCTTCTCAGAACATTGGCTTGGGATGCTCACATTTAAAGAAGGACAACATGAGGGTTAGAGCCCTTGGGACAAGCACCTCAGTATAGGTACCCTGTATTTGGGGAGACATTAGATTATAGGGAGTCTGGGAGAAATAGCCAGAGAGAAGTGGATTTTTAAGGAAGCGCATAGGCCTAGGGCAGGGTTGGCAAACTATGCTACCAGAGTTCACAAACCATCACCAGCACAGTTTTGTAGAAGAATTCTCAGGCTTTTACTGACCTCTTAAGTGGGAACATTTAATGTCAGCCTGGACTGATTCTACTGTAAGCCCTGAACTCCCAGGCCAGGCTGGGCTCTGTGATCTCAGGACAGAGTAGCCTTTTTGCTAGTGGTAGCTACTCCGATGAAGAAAATTTAGGAGCAAATGAGCCATAGGGTTCATTATTATCATCATATAATGATGATATCATCATACAATGAATAATCATATCATTATTATCATCTCTACCACCATCAATACTTTTTTATCACCACCACCACCACCATCATCATTATCATGATCATCATCATTGCTGCCACCACTATCACCATCATGACTACTACAATCATCTCCACGAACATCACCTTCTCCTTCATATCACCATCAGTACTACTGTCACTACCAACATCACTACTACCATTATCTTCATCACCATCATGACCATCACCTGTACCATCATTTGCCTCTCCTTCATCACCATAGTCACCACCTCTGCCACTTCTACCAACTTCGTCACCATCATTATCACTTCTCCTTCATCACCACCATCATTTGCTGCCACTACTACTACCACCATCACTAATACTACCATCACCTTACTGATCACCGTTATCATCACCATTTCCATCATCACCATCAGTACCACTATTGCTACTAACATTACTACCATAACCACCATCATCACCATCATTACCACCATCCCTACTCCTCCTTACTGCCCCTTCATTGGTCACCACCATCACTACCACCATAACCTCCATGATCACCTCTATTACCACCTTTTGCATCAACATCATTATGATCATCATAATGTTTAACAGCATCACCACCTACTCTTTTACCATTATCACCACCATCATGGTTAATACTATCACTACTATCTCTTTAATCTCCACCTCCATTATTACCTTCACCTGTTTCACCATTATCATCACTGCCACAATCACCATAACCATTTCTGTCACCACCACCATCATTATCTCACTCACCTTCATACCACCACCTTCACTGTCACCACTACTACCACCATCACCATTACCACTACTATCATCATCACTATTACCACCACTATACCACCACCATACCACCACCAGCACTACTGCCATTACCTTCCTTACTTTCTCTTTCACCATCACCACTGTGCTCGCTATTACCACCACCAGTACCAGCACCATCATTACTTTTCTATGTTAGACAGATTTTTGTTCCTATGAAAAAATACTTGTGATAATTAATTTAAAATGGAGGCAAAGTTTATTTTGGCTCAAGGTTTCAGAGATTTTTGATCCATGGTTGATTGGCCTTTTTGCTTTGGGCCTGTGTCAAGGCAGTAGATCATGGTGAAAAAAATGTGGTGATGGAGGTCTGTTTACTTCTGGTGGCCAGGAAGCAAAGAGAGAGGAGGGCCCAAAGACATAGCTTCCTTCCACTTTTTAAGCATTCTGCCATCTAATAGCACCACAGGCTGGCAACAAAGCCTTTAGAGCATGGTCTTTAGGGGATCGTTTAAAATCTAAACTATAGCATTTAGTCCCTGGCCCCCAAAGGCTAATATACATCTCACAATGCAAAATACACTTGTCCATCTTCAAGAGATCCCAAAGCCTTGAGAGTTATAGTATTGCTCAAAAAACCCACGTCTAAGGACTCCTGTGAGATTCACGGCAAACTTACCTGTGAGTCTCTGTGAAAATCAAAAAACAAGTTATATACTTCCAAGACACAGTGGCACAGGGTAAGCATTCCCATTCCAGGAGGGAAAATTTGAGGGTTAGAAAGGAAAGATTTGACCAAAGCAAGACCAAAACCCAGCAGGACAAACATTAAATCCTGTAGCTCCATGTCTAGACCAAAACCCAGCAGGACAAACATTAAATCCTGTAGCTCCATGTCTAGTACCTGGGATACACTGTGGCATGAGATGAGGTAAAAACGGCTGGTCAGCTGTGCCCCTATGACCTTGGGCTTGCTCTGGTCTGTCTACAGCTTCCCTGAGCAGGCATTCTATATTCTTGGCGTCTCTAACTTCCTTGTGTCTCCATTGAGCTTTGTTTCACTCTCACAGCTTTATATATCACTCTGTCAGGGGCTGCTTACAGAATTTTGACTCTACCATGTATGAACTGGGCTCCTAGGCTTTCCTTGAAATCTTGGTAGAAGCCTCCATGCCCTTATCCCACAACTTTTGCTTTCTTATGCCTGCAAAACCAGCATGATGAGGATGATACCAAGGTCTGCCATTGTTTAAGAAGTAGCTGGGCCTGCTTAGAACAAGGCTGTGGCAACCTTTGAGTGTCTGGATCACTGAACAAAAGAAAATGAATTCCAGAAAAAGTTTCTTAGGCAGGCCTATATGAGTAGAGCACTGTGGAGCTTAGGTGGGGAGGAATGGGGTCTTGCAAATTCCCAAGATGCCCTCAAGGTATTTTTCCTATTGCTCCAGTGCAAACTACTTGGCTACCTTTTAATGGCATAAATCTCTTTAACAATCAGACCCTCTTTGGCTGCACCTTTAAATTTCTTCCTTTTCTGGTCAAACTGCAAGCCTTTTAAATCTTTCCACTTTGGCTTTTGTGCCTAATTCTCATTGTCAATCTTACTAAAAACAACCATTAATACCCATGCCACTGCCTGAATGCTGGTTGCCTTGAAATTTCCTCTACCAGAATAACCAGTCTGTCATCTTTAAGATTAGCCCACAAACACTCAAGGCATGGATGAAATGCAGACAAGTCCTTTGCCAGAATGTAACACAAATGGTCTCTAGTCCAACTCCCAATGGAGCCCTTGTTCCCATCTGAAACCTCAGGCATCTGTCTTCACTGTTCACATTCGTATCAACATTCTGGTCTTCTGATCCCCCACCAGAATTACCTAATAAGATCTGCCTCAGCATTCTGACACTTTTTAGCCCATTCCCCCAAACTTTTCCAAATTTCTCCTCCATACCAATACCAAAGTTTTCTGAAGTATAGACTCTACTTCTTGGTACCAATTATATGTGTTAGTCAGTTTTCCACTGCTATGACAAAACACTAGGGGTAATCACCCTTATAATGAGAAAAGACTTGTTTTGACCTATAGTTTCAGACATTTTAGTACATGGTCACATAACCTCATGGTTTTGGTCCCATCATGGGGCAGAATATCATGGCAGAATGTGTACAGTGCAACAAAGGTGCCCACCTCATTGCAGCCAAGAAGAAAAGACAGAGAAGAAAGGGCAGGGCGCCAATAACTCCTTCAAGGGCATGCTCCCAGTGACCTTCCACTAGGTCCCCCTCCTAAAGGCTCCACAATTCTCATAGTGCCACAGGCTGTCAACAAAGCACATGACTTTTGAAGACATTTAGTATCCAAAGCATAACACTCCCTCACCTTCCTTTCACTATTACTGCCACTGGTACCATTACCATTACTACCACCACTGTCACCATTACCACCATCACCATCATTACCTTCCTTAACCTTCCACCACCACCACTACCACCAATGAGTACCACAGTCACTGTTACCACCATCTACCATTAGCATTATCATTAGTGGTGGTCATTATTACCACCATTGCTACCATTGCTACTACCACTGCTACCCTTACCACCACAACCATTACTACCAGTACCATCACCATTACCACCATCACTGTCACCATTATCTCCACCACTGTCGGTATTACCACAACCACCACCAGCACCATTTGTGACCTTCACCACCACCATTATTTCTAGTAATATTTTCTCCTTTCTAATATTTTCTCCTTTCTCCACCACTAAAACCATGTCTACCACCCTCACCATCTGTACCTCTGTTGCCATTACCCTCACAACTATCACTTCCATGCCTACAACCACCTCAGGTTCCACTGCCATCTTTACCACCATTACCATCACTATGGACCAGCTGCCAATGACTTCTCCTGCCCTGGGGTCTGAGCCTTACCTTGCCCACATAATAGGGCAATGAGGCGTTTTTCTCTTCATCAACGTACATCTGGTTCCAAATCCAGTCTCTCTTCTGGCGCCTGTGGGTGCACTGCAGGTTGGGGATGTCCGGTTGGGTAGGGTCATAGCGTGCCATGGCTGCTGCCACCAGCATGCCCAAGTAGATGCCCAAAGTACTGGCCAGCATTGTGGGTCTCTGCTTCTTCCCGGGAAGGATGAATCTGGAGGAAGAGGAGACACAGTCGGCATCGTGGCCACCACCCTAGAATGTGAGCAATTCATCTGGAGAACTGAATTTCTTTTTCTGTTTACTCCTTCCTCCATCACCAGCAGAACCAGACCCATTGCTGGCAGGGATGAGCTCCTGGCCCGGGAGGGGAAGACAGACCTAGAAGTGATCTTCCTTCTGTGCACGTGGGCTACATGGAGGAAAGGTATGGGCCTGGAGCTGCAGGGAAGGGCTCCTGGAGGAGAGGTCATGCTGATACTAACCGCAGTTCTGTGCAGTGGCTATTCCCGTGCAGCAAATGAGGAAACTGAGGTTCAGAGAAGTTAAATCCACATCAGAGTAAGTGGTAGGGCTGAGAAGGGCGCTCAGGTGCCTGGCCTCAAAGGCTAACTTTTATGAAGAACTTGTTACTTGCCTGACTCCTATATGTTATCTCAATCTTCCTAATAACCTTAAAGAGTGGTGTGCTGTAATTGTAACACTCCTTTTATGGATGAACTGAGGAACAGAGGTGTTTAGTAACATTCGTGAGATCACCCAGACTATAAGGAAGACTGCCAACATTTGAATAAAGTCTGCCTGGTCCAAAGTTGAATTCTTTCTTACCCCTTTCTCTCATCCCAGAAGCAGCTATGGGGTGGGATTTAAAGGCTCCTCTGAACAAACAGGTCCCCTTGGCTTGCCTGAAAGTCCTTATGGCAGCTTTGAATTGGTTTTCAGAAGGTCCCTAGGAAAATCTCAATGTCTTAACCCAGAGTTTAGTCCCTTGGTTGACTCATAAGACATGGTCATCTTAGGAGCTTTCACAAAAGCAGAGGTGGGTGGGAGTGGGGAGGTTGAGAGGCTGGGTTCACAGGACAGACCTCCTAATTTGCAGGCCCAGTGCAAAATGGAGATGTGAGTCCTTTGTTATTAAGCATTTTGAGTCAGAGATGAAAGAACATTAAACCAAGCATGGGGTCGTTTGAAAAGCAGGCCCTGCTCTGTTGTACAGTTGCATACATTTGAAGGCCTCTTGTATGCCAGGAATGAGGGCCACCCAGAGAATAAAGCCTGGCTTCATCCTGAACTTTGGTAACAGAGATTTTCACCATGGTCCCATGGTGGGTAGAAGCCAGGCCTTTGGCCATCGCCATTTTTTCTCAGCCTTGACCCTGGGTCCCACACATCCTGGATCCCTGTGTCACTGACCTGCAGCTCCTGAGATAGTGTAGAGGAAGAAAGTGGATGGCAGTGGGAACCAGCTTGTGTGCCTGGAGAGAGATGTGGACCCACAGGATGTTGGGTAAGATGGCTTCCTCCTCAGCTGTCCCTTGCTCCTCCCCGCCCCAGGGAGAGGCTGAGCTCTGAATTACAGAAGGTTTTGAAACTCTAGTGACTTTTCCTCTGGGCCACTGGCGCCAGGCTGTCCTCGCCAAGGGTCTCTGGGTCAGGTGACCTTAGCTTCCAAGGCCCCAGCCCTCTGGCTGTGCCTCTGCCTCAGGGGGGAAGTGCCTCCCATAGTTCCAGAGTGGCAGTGGGGTGCAGGGGGCTCAGTCTCCTTGGATGTCAGTGAGGGACCCCAGGCCCTGGATGTCAGGTGCTCGAGGCAGGAGGAAGGCAGCGAACACAGGGCTGGGGAGGAGAGGAGGCTGGGACACCTGAGCAGAAAGCTGGTCCTGACTCAAGGAGGCTCAGGCAGGCATGATGCTACCCCCGACCCTGGGGTCATTTCCTTCTCCGCCTAGAGAAGAAACTGCAAGTCATGGTGCTTTCTGCTGCCCTCAAGTGAGAAGTGAGTGGGAAATGGAAGAGTAAAACAGAAACGAAATCAGGAAACAGGGTAAAAGGTTCTCAGAGTTCAGGGTAGGACAGGGAGAGGACAGGAGCACTGAGGTGCTGGGTGCGTGGCGCCTGCTGTGTGCCCGGCTCCACTAGGCAGCAGGGTTGCTGCGTGAACCAGCCAAGTGCGCACATGGTGGTGGGAAGAGCCGGAGAGCAAGCACATGGGAATGACAATGGGGGACACAATTCCGAGCGAGGGGGCAGCTGGCCGAGACCATGTAGCCAGGGAAGGTCCCGCAGAGAGGTGTTTTTTGTTTTGTTTTGTTTATTTCCTAGGGCTGGGGATAGTACCCAGGGCCTTGTGCATACTAAACAAGCACTCTACCACTGAGCCACATCCGCAGCCCCACTCAGAGATATTCAGTGTCAGCTATAGAAATAACAGGAAGGAAGAGAACTTCAGGCAGAAGCACCAGAAGGTCCAAAGGCCCTGTGGTGGAAAACTAGTCACTATATCTAAAGGATCCAAAGAAGTCCCCTTGGTGAGACAGAAATGAGCAGCAGGAGCTGGGCAGAAGAAGTGGTTGGCAGGTCTGTGTGACAGGCTAAATAAGGTCCTTGAGAGTGTCCGTCCCTAATCCCTGGGACTTGGGGTGTTCTCTTACATGACAAAAGGGACTCTGGGCAGATGCGGTGGGGAGATGATCCTGGACAGTGTGAGTGGATGCCAATGTAATCACAACGTCCTCAGAGAGGGGAACCAGAGAGTCAGATTCAGGGGCAAGGCACGATCACAGGGGCCTGGCGGAATGGGCAACCATCAGCCCAGGAATGCAGGTGGTGGCCTCCTGGAGCTGGGAGAAGTAAGGACAGGGATTCTCCCTAGGCCTCCAGAGGGGATGCAGCCCTGATTTGAGCCCGCTGAGGCTCCTTTCAGACTTCTGAATGTCAGCACTGTAAGAGAATAAAGAAATGTGTGCACAGAGATTGAAGGCCCCAGACTGTGGCAGGCTGTCACCTCAGCTGTAGGGCATGAGTGCGCTTGGGCTATGGTGGGTTGTCTCATTCTTTAGTTCCCCATCCTTCACTGGGGAGCAAATGACCCGGGGTCTAGTCTCCTGGCAGACTGCTCCCTTCCCTTCCTCTGCTCCAGGTTGCAAGGATGCCCTGGCCCCGGCCCTGACTTTGACCTTGGCCTCAGACTGTGTTGGGCTGAGAGGGGACTTCGGTGGGCATTCAGAGGGCAGGAGAGAGGTGGGGGTGTTTCTTCCTGCTCCTCCCTGCTCTGACCCTTATTTCCCATGATGGCTGCATCTCTCTCCCTGATGCCGGCTTCTGATGGGCAGCCCCTCATGACTTGGTCCCTCACTAGGCTCTAGAAAGGTCCCTCTCTTTCTCCCTTCAGACTTAGGGCAGTGGCAATTGCCCTAGGTCACTGGTCTTGGCTGCCTCCATAGCCTGCCCCTCCACCCCAGCTTAGTCCTCTGCAGCAGCCCCTTCTAAGCCACTCCGTTGGTCCCCTGGTACCCTGCCAGGAATGCAGCGACGTAGCTTCCTCTGTACGGTGTTTGGATGTGTGAAGATGTCCTCAGTCCTGACAGCAGCCATGAGCTGAATGAATCAGTAACAACACTGGATTTAAGTGAAGCGGAGCCCTCTAGTCACAGGCTGCAACCTTGTGGCTCAGGGGGGGCATTAACCCTTCAGTGGGCTTTGGCTGGTGCCACATACAAAGTGCTCTGGGAAGATGTGGGAGAAGCTCTTTGGGTTCTGTTCCCAGCAGCAGAAGCCCTGCCTTGATGGCTGAAAAGAGCCCCAGGAACAATGGATCACCTTCAGGCTGAACCCTCATGGGGGATGCCCTGGTTTACGTAGGTCATTCATATCAGTGTGTCCCCTGTCACGGGACAGGGAGTTCTGCATGCTTAGCTCTCTAGTCAGCCATTGTCAGTGAGGAGACAACAGCCTGGAGGCGGGCCCTTCAGCATCTGGGGTCGCACAATCCAGTCTCCATCCCAATTTCCTTCCCAGAGGAGGCTTGGGGTGCTGACTTGCCCGAGCTCCTGACCTTAGGCACCATATCTTATTCCGAGCCTTGGAACTGAGTGTCAGCTGTTGCATTTTGCAGGTGAGGAAATGGCAGCTCAGAGAGGTAGAGTGAGTCATACTTGATCCCACACAGCAGCAAGAAGTAGGGCCAGGATTTGAGCTTTCGCTCAAAATGGTGCTTATTGTCTCTCTCTGCATCTGTGGTGCCCCTGACATGTAAGAATAAGAAACTATTCTCCATGCCTAGCTTTCAAACTCTCCTGACCACCTCATTTAATATTCATACCATGCCCAGCATCCTGTGGCTGTGATAATGATCATTCCCATTTCACAGATGAGGAAACTGAAGCTCAGAGACAGCTAAATGAGAGTCTCCCAAATGTCCATCGCTAATCTCTGGAACCTAGGATGTTCCCTTACATGGCCAAAATCTAGGTGGTAGTCTTAGACCTGCATCTAGATCTATCTTTCTCTACACTCTGGGGTCCTTCTACACAATCTTGGAGGAACATGGGAGGGATCTTTCCATTGGAAAAGCGGCACTTATTTGTGTCTTTGGCCTTTTGTGTTAGAAATTTAGCCACCAAAGTTGGCCGTGGGGCAATCCTTCCTCCTCCCGCTGCCTGGGGAGGAAGTCAGGCCCCAGACTGGCGGCAGCCACAGCTGAAAGCAGAATTTCCCTGGGCTCATGTTCAGGCTTATGGCCAGAACCACAGCTTGGGTCAGGTTTATCTCAGCCCTTTTGCTTTCAGTGAGCAGAGTCTGGCGTCACTTTTGGAGAGGCTCAGGATGCTGCCGGGTAGGTTTGGGTACCACCAATGTCCAGAGAGACTGAGGAGGGGGACATGGTTTTTGGGCTGAGCAGCTCCAAACAGGCGCCCTGGGGACTCATGTGGGTATGGGTTAGGGTTAGGGTTAGGGTTAGGGTTAGGGTTAGGGTTAGGGTTAGGGTTAGG